ACGTCGTTTTAGAATTTTTCCGTTGTTCTCATTTTTCCCGAGTCTACCCCCAACACCTCTTCTAGTGATTTCACCGTCGGCGAAAAGCTATGGATCTTAGCACATATTTTCAAAGAACACCAAGACCTTCTTTCCGTTGCAGTTAGTCATTTCTCAACTTAATTTTTTCTTTTCATCCAACTTTTTCGTGCCTCAGATAGTTAACCAAATTTGTTCTTGGTTATAGGCTACCACTGTTATTTTCAACTCAATCGATACTCCCCCTATACTGATTTGAAATTCCTAAAGTCGGACTCACCCTTTGTTCAATCCTCCTTCTTTGCCTGTCCGGTCAACTAGCGCTCATTGTATATTAGATCTTCCTATTTCGAGTACTTCAGCTCCATTTAATAGCTTTGCTCTCCAATTCTTATGCTGTGATTGATTTCTTTTCTCTAACATCTTTTGTAGCCTTCTGCATAATCAAGACCTGTTGTTCGCCGGTTCCATACACAATGCTTGACTTTTCATTTCTTCTCTCCTTGGCAAAGCATCAACTTAAATACTGATGCACACGAACCTGTGTTAACCCTCCCTCACGTCATTTACACCCGCGTACTATTTTTTGCCTACTATATCACTCTACTCAACCTATCCATACCATGATTGAAATCGAAAGTTGCGTTTATGTTCCAGAAGAACCTCCATTCGTCAATCGACAACATTATCTCATTCAAGATTCAACTCCCTGGGCTTGTACTGAGACCACAACGGTCCCTTTATTAGGACATCTTTTTGATGTCTATACTCCTGCTCCTCGCGGTGATTCCGACGACGCTGCTTCTTGGTTAACGTTTCAGGGCCGCTGCATCGCCCGCTATTCTGAGGCAAACATAGCCGTTTTGTGTAACGCCTCGGCATACCATAACGAGATTCCTCACCGACATCGACGTATACCTTTCCCTATCGTCAGAGGTTATCTTAAAATTATTGACCAAGGCGTCAGCTGTCTCGCCTTAGACCCAGACGTTTCGGACGTTAGTCAAATCTTCTGTTCCTCAATTCAAGCCTCTTCTAACCATTATCTCTTAGTCTGCCCTGTTCCGTTTCAGCGCAGAGTCCTCAGCGGTTCAAAACTTGCTCTGTGACCTAAAACCAGGGCAAATAGTATACCTTTCAGCTTATCTGACTAAACATTTGAGCGGTATTGTAGACTTACAAGTATGTCTTTTCTCATGCCGACTTTATATCTTCTTAGGCCAATGTTCTGACTGTACTCAATTTCTCTCGGCCAAATCTAGGTCTCCACTCTAAACACCTCTTAACTTTTCTGAACAGAATCTCCGGCTGATGATTGTGCAAGGCTCCACCTGAGCCTGAGCAAATCCTGATCTGATGATGACCGGCGCATGACAGAACTGGCTGCCTTTGTTCAATATAAACATAATCTCTACGCTACGTTGTTTGTTAGTCTATACGCCTCTGCCTGTAATTTGTAAAATTTCAGTTTGTAATTACAAACCTAGACTCTGTAACCTCGATTGGACTCTCTGCAAAATACAGTTTGGAAGCAAACAACCGAATACTACCCCGTTCGTCACCTACTCTGATGTTCTATTCCATTCCGCATTTGTTATTTATCCTTGAACACCTCTTCTGTCAGCAACCTCTAAGTTGACGAAGCTTATTCTAGAGCCATCACCGCATTTATCCCTTCTCAGCACTGTCCGCCTATTCTGGCAAATCCTTGGGATCAGGCCGGCCAACAAACAAGCGAATATTACCGCGTTTGTCATCTATCCTGATGTTCTATTCCATTCCTCACCCAATATTATTCCGAAAATTCCATTCTTGATTCCAACCAGACTCGGAGCGAGTTTCAATGACGCCCGCATGTTGATCATCTGGTTTATAAAAGCCCTCACCCGGATCTTGACTGAGTCAAAAACTCACATCTTCTCTCCTCAGCTTCAGTTCCAGTCACCTATTTCATATTTATCCTTCTCATCACACCTCGATTTATTAGTCACAGTCTACCCTTAAAATAGACCTCGCTTTCGAGTTCAAACCTTGAGAAAACCTCTCCCTTTGCTCCCACACCTACCTGACACATTCGAGTTAATCTGATCTTAGTACTCTTTTAAATAAACTTCCTTTACAAAATGTCTAGCCTGAAGAAATTCAGTCATCCTATGCTAACTAGGACAATCACCGATATCTTTGAACATGTAATAATCTCTTCGCATTTATCAGTCCTTACGTCCTGATGCTTACCCTCCGGCCTTTGTTTAGCTTGAGCAGTTAATTGCACCAGGATCGACTTATGGACAAATGTATTATTCCACATCAGTCCCTTTCCTTGACTCCTGTACGAAGGAAGAGAAGAATCTTCTAATTAAATTATGCGGGTACGGTTCTGCGGCTACCGGATTAATTGATAGTCATTTGTATTCCATTTCCGGAAAACTCATCGCTCCCAATTCCAAATCGACCCCTGTTCTTCACTTCGATACTGACACTGTTATTGAATTGGGACTTACCGCTAACATCCCTATTGCCATGGCTGATAAAACCTCGGTCGTTGGCCTAGGCATTGTCATGTCTAAAAGAGAAGTTGCTGATCCTGAAGCGTCTACTTCATCCAAAAATCTGGTGATTGTTCTCCAACATACGGACTATGATCCTGTGGTCAGTTCTAAAACTTCTTTCAACGATTACGTAGCAAAGCTGACATGAACTATTCTCAGGCTAAAGCTCAGGTTCAGTTCAACACTCAGTACATCATCGGTGGTAGGAAAAACTTAGCCAACACCTTCGGCCTGTTCCAACTCGGTAGAGAGATATTAATTTCTGGACACATTACAGGATATGAACACGCTCAATTTATGTGGATTGTGACCATTAGTAATTCCTCTACTCATATTCTTCAGGAACATGAACTGATTCACTATTTTGCCTCTTAATTGATGTTTAGGCGATTTCCGTGTCAGTCACTGTTGGACATCAATCTGTCAACAGCCAGGCTCTCATTACCAGTCAAGTCGGCGAGGCAAAGCCGAGGCGTCCAGGATTGTAAGTTTTCTGATCTAATACGCTGCTTGATCAATTTGCTCATATCTTTTCGTCAACCTAGAATAAGTGTCGGTGAAGATTTGTCTCAACCTCAGGCTGAGGTGATTGTTGATACACAAATCTTAGGCAGTTCGAGTGGTACTGTTGAAGGACTCGATGTTGGTCCTGTCCACAATGAAGGCCAAAACTCAAGCAACAGTGTCAATTATTACGATAACGTTGCTTTGACATCGGGCAAAAAAAGGACTAAAAAAGAGATCTTGGCCGACGCAAAGCGGGCCAAGCTTAACATGAGCTCTGTCTGAGCATAGAATCACCTCCCGTATATATCCTTACCCTCAACACTTAGACTTTAAATCTCAACACTACAGAAATTTTTTTCCTTGAGAATTCCCAGTAAAATTGTCGCTCAATCAAAACATCTGTATTTTTTCCGCTCTCATTGTTTTTGTATTCCGACCTAATCTCGGCCCTGCACATGATAAAATAAGACATGGCACATTTCATGTCTGGCCGACGCGTTGAATATTTCAATTACTTCTTCACTTTATTTTGGAGGCGTATTCATACTTGTTCCTGTATAACATAACATTTGATCTTTTCTCGACAATTGATATTATATGTTTTATCTGTATTGGGGCTCTCCTTATCATTTCAGGACATGTCTTTTTTCCCTGGCTAAGTAACTGTTTTCATCTCTTATATATCGAATTCCTCAGAATAAAATAATATCAAAAAATGATTAGTGTCAAAAAATCAAGCGCAAACAAAAAGGTCGACAGGTGTTCAGGACTAGATCTGCTTTCAGTATCATGACTCCGGGTTATGTTGTATCCTCCAGATTCCCATCCTTGTAGGAGAGTCTTTGACAAGGCAACTCGGCAGCTTCAGCCAAGATCTGTGGGATACTCCCCACAAACCTTAAAGCTAATCAAAAGTTTATGTTCTCCTTGCAAACCGGAATATATGTACTGTGAACAGGCGTCACGGGTTCAATTCCCTCCTGTGACAGGCATTCAAAGATCATGTTACGAATTCGTGTTTAAAAAGTCAAATCCACGGTCCAAGATAAGATCAATACTTAGGCCTACGATTAATAATTTTGTAATCTATTTTTAAGAAGGTCGCGTCACACCTAATTAACCGCAGCCAAGATCTGAGGCAATGATTATGGTCAGTAACCAAAATCCAGGGGTCAAGAACTGATTGAGCTGGAAACAGCTAACCAGTATAAAGCTCACTATTCCCTACATTTCTGGATTTGGTCGATTGGTTGTGAATGTGGTGGCAGGCCACAATCCCCGATTCTTAATCAATCACCCACAATTCATATAATAATTGGCTACTCTACCTGTTTAAGGTAACTTTCCATAATTGGAACTTAGTTTCACGTTATAATAAGATTTAGAAACTTCCAATTTTGGCCGATGGTGACTATCCTTGATCGCTCGCACTTAGAAACTATTCTTCTGATCCATCCGAAGGTCCTGAAGCCAAGGACTAATCTGTCCATTGAAGCTGAAATTACCGATGCTCACTTTGTTTGTCTTGAACCGAGACAAAGAACGGAGCAAAGCGGTCTATGCAACATTGCAGCATCTTCCCTTGTGCTGTGAAAATGTTGTTGCTCTGCTTTGCGGGAACTATAAGAAGAATAATTGACGAATCTTAGGACCGTCTTTTAGAGGTAACAATCATGTCCCTTTTGTATGCATTCTGATGTTAAAAAATAATTTATTTTAACACTCAAACTCAAACCGAAAGCATCCAAATTTCGTGTCACTCTTCAACACAATCGGTCCTTTTTTCGGCTTCGCACCGCCTCAGTTACGAATCTGGAAATGGGTTTTGTCGTGCAGTGGTAATTTCAACCGGAATTTCTTTCAGCAAGACTTTTGTCTAAACAATTTCTCAAGGCGGCTCAAATTTGCCAAGTCGATATGAGATAACAAATTTGTCTATGTTCAACTGTGACCTCATCATGGTTCCTTGATTGCTGCGCCTTGCTTCAATGATTGTTGTCTGAACATGGAAGAAGGGCATCTCAGATTATCGGCCTTGCAGTATTAACAAATTTGGCGAAGTACGTTGCATTGGCATACACATATGGGGTAATAAGCTATAATTGCGTATCAGATAACTGCTGAGTTCAGTGTCGACTTGGCTGAGTTGAGTTTCAAGGCAGCAAAAACTTTGGTCACACTGAATCAGACCAGAACAATTTGAAAATCAGGCGACTCTTTCGAAACCTTGTCTTGCGCCATTACTTGAACGTCATTAT